GCGCCGACAGCGCGCCGAGGAGGCGGAGAGGCGCAAGGCGGCTCGGTTTGCTTAGGGCTTATAGGGTTTAGGGTTTAGGGTTTAGGGTTTAGGGTTTAGGGTTTAGGGTTTAGGGTTTAGGGTTTAGGGCTTCTGGGGTTCGTTTAAGCGGGTGCGTTTTTGGGGTGTATGAGGGTAGAGTAGGTTATATTCGGGTATATAGGGTGTATAGGGTGTATAGGGTATATTCGGGAATATAAGGTGTATATACACAGAAGATACATGTATAGAGTATTGAGGATGTGTTATCTAGGGTTTAGGCTATCTATGGTTTGAGGTATCCAGGGTTTGGGGTCTCTAGGGTTTAGGGCTTAGGTACATTGTGTGTAGCTTGTTTTGGTATGTAGGGTTCAGGGTTTAGCAAAACGGTGGGGGAGCATTGTTGGACGTTGAGCGTAAAAGATATACGGTCTGATTTGAGTAGAATACGCGCTTTGGAGAGGGGCAGATGTTTTAAACTGTAGTTTAGGGATAGCAAGCCTAGCAAGCGGAAGAATGACTACATGGTTGGCTCCTGTCTCAGTCTCTTTGTGCACTCGTCCGATCTCCTTCTTGCCAGAAACAGATTCTCAATAGGGTAGTAAAGCTTGGGGCCCCTAAACCCTAAACCATAAACCCTAAACCCTAAACCCTAGGGCGCTGCCCCGACTATTCTGAAATAACCTAAGCCCCAAACCACTAAACCCCTAAACCCTAAAACCCTAAACCCTAAAACCCGAACAAGGCTAATAACCCTAAGCCCCAATACCCTAAACCCTACTTAAACCCCCCCCCCCCCCAGAAACGCCCAAAGCCTAAACCCTAAACCCTAAACCCTAAACCCTAAACCCTAAACCCTAAACCCTAAACCCTAAACCCTAAACCCTAAACCCTAAACCCTAAACCCCACACCTCTCCAGAGAGGCAGCGGTGGCCACCTCCCTGGCCTCCGCCTTCCGGGGGCGCCAGGCGCGGCGCGGCTGCGCGGCGCTGCGCCGACGGCGTGAGGAGGAGAGACTTCGGGTTCAGGGTTTAGGGTTTAGGGTTTTGGGGTTTAGGGTTTAGGGTTTGGGGTTTAGGGTTTGGGGTTTAGGGTTTGGGGTTTAGGGTTTGGGGTTAGGGTTTAGGGTTTGGGGTTTGGGGTTTAGGGTTTCGGTTTGGGGTTTAGGGTTTAGGGTTTGGCATTTAGGGTTTTGGATTTAGAGTTTAGGGTTGAGGGTTCAGGGTTTGGGGTGGTGTGTAGAGTTTAGGGTTTGTTGTGTCAGTGCACCTGTGCACGCAATGACATGAGAGAGCATTCTTGTCGCACGCCGCAGTTTATTGCCATTGCCCAGTCGTGAAGTGTCGCGACCTAGTGATTTCGACACCCAGCCTCTCCGCCCTTGAAACAGTGGACAACGCCTCCTGCTGTGCGCTTCCAAAAAGAGTGCTGCTCGTAGACTTTGACATGTCTGTTCAGTTGGCTGTGCGCTGTAAGCTCGGAATGTCTTCATGGGCTTAGAGTCTAAGAGGGTCTAGGAGTTTAGAAGGGTTTCATCGGGTGATAAATGTGTCTGTTTGCTCGAGTTTTTTGTAGGGTTTATAGGGATCGCAGGTTTGTGGGTGTCCCTAAAATAGAACCGCGAAGAGCAGGATTCCCTCATAATCAGGACCCCAATAAGTTACCCTTAATATCCAAAACCCCCATATTCAACTATAGGGCTATAAGGAGGGGTGACGAAAAGTCTCTAGGATCGCAGAAGCCCCCGAAGGCAGCAGCCTCCAAAAGCAGAAGTAGCGCGTTTAATGGGTAGAAACTATGGGCTTTTATCGGGGTTTTTTATAGAGCTTACATGGTTCATCCGTGCTTTCTACGGGCGAGTTATATAGGGGTCGGAATAATTACTGATAGATTTCCCTCATGGTCCCTTTACACTTATACTTTTATTTTAAGGGGCTGCGCCCATGGGCGGGCAGCGCACGCAGAAGCCCGGGGCGAGCAGTTTCTAAGCATGTTGAGGCCCCTAAACTCCCTTAAAATCTCTAAGCGTTAAGTTTCTAAGCATGTTCAGGCCCCTAAACTCCCCTCAAATCTCTAAGCGTTTGAGGCTCCTAGACTCCCTTAACGTTTCTAAGCAATTTATAAGGCCCCTAAACTCACTTTTTCCTAGCCCCGGGCTTAGACACGTCGCTTATGCCCGCCCTTTGGGGGGCATCATGCTCCTGATGCGCCCCCGGGGTCCCGCCCCGAGAGCCGCTGATGCTCCTGATGCGCGCCTGGGGGTCCCGGGCTGGACCCGCTGATGCTCATGATGCGCGCCCTCTGGGGGCCTCCGTGGCGACGCAAAAAACCACGAAAAAAAAAAACCGTTCACCGGCGGCACGCGGGGGTCGGCGGCACTGGCGTCCGGCCTAATTCTGCTTCGCAGAAGGCCAGAGGCCAGCAATGCTATTCCCGGGACGACCCGGGCTAAAAGGTCCGCATTTGCTCGGTCCTTTGGGGACCTCGCGCTGCCCGATTTAATGGCTACCGCCAATGCCGCCGACCCCATCCTAAGAATTGAAGCACGCTCTGTCCGGCTCAACCCCGACAGGAGGCCGCAGGGTTTAGGGCGGGTTGGGCAGGCACCAAGACGTCTCGGGCGTGCGCTGGAGCCCTTAAAACACTCCATTTCTTGGCGGGAGGGGGGGGGGGGAGGGGGTTGGGCAAGATGGAGGCAAGAGAGCAAGGGGCGGGGGGGGGGGCAGGAGGGGGGGGGGGCAGGGCAGGGGCAGCAAGAGCAGCGAGGGAAGGCTCTGAGGCAGCGGGGGGGGGGGGGGGGGGGGCGGGGCAGCAAGGGCAGCGAAGAAGAGGCTCGGGCATGCACTGGAGCCCTTAAAACACTCCATTACTACAGCAATTACTACAGCAAGGCAGCAGGGGGTTGGGCACCAAGAGGGGGCCAAGGAGCGCGGGGGCAGTAGGGCTCGGGCATGCACTTGAGCCCTCAAGCGGGAGGGGGGGAGGGGGTTGGGCACTAACAGCAAGGCAGCGAGGGGGGCAGGAAGGGTGGGGGGGGGGGGGGGGGGGGAAGGCAGCAAGGACAGCGAGGCACTGGGCGAGGAAGCAGACAGCAAGGGCAGCGAGGCACTGGGCGAGGAAGCAGACAACGATGGGTCTTCACTGACGCCGCCCCCGCTCCGGCTGGGGTCAGCGGATAACCCCCCCAAAAAAACTTGTTCTAATTATTGAGGCCCCTGTATTAGGGCTTCTAACTGTACATATAACCACATTAAGGGACCTTAGGGGGCTTACAAGTGGGTTAGAAGCACAGTTATCACTGGTTAATAAGTACCATCAACCTCCAAGTAGGGGTGAGTAGATCTGCGGATCAGCCTCTCTGCCTCTCCTAGACGCCCAGCAAGAGGAAGCGCAGGCGTCCACCAAGATACAGGTTGCCTTCCGCGGCAAGGCTACCACAGATGAGAATGGTTTAGGGTTTAGGGCTTGGGGTTTAGGGTTTAGGGTTTAGGGTTTAGGGTTTAGGGTTTAGGGTTTAGGGTTTAGGGTTTAGGGTTTAGGGTTTAGGGTTTAGGGTTTAGGGTTTAGGACGAGTGTCTGAAGGGGCGCTGCTGGATTTTGGAAACTAGGCTTCGGAGTTCAGAGTTCATTTAGGCATCAGGGGGCTGTGGAGGTACAACCCCTAGCCCAAGACATGTAGAAGTGGTTTTTGCCAAAGAGTACACGGAACCAGAAGCATAGTCGTAAGAATCACCGTCATAAATACAGCAAGCAATCACAATCGCACGTGGTAAGTCGAACAGCCGTAGCAAGAACTATCCTTGTCGTTATGGGTAAGCTATGTCACAACCCTTAGAAGAATCATCGTCGTGATGATTGTCGGTGTTGCTAATTATGGTGATATAGAAAGCAAATACTTAGCATCAATCGTAAACCCATCAGTCTGCAGGTCGCAAGACGACGACTGGCAGAGGAGAAGCAGAAGAGGGAGGACGCGGCCACGAAGATTCAAGCCATGAGGCGAGGGCACGTGGAGAGGCGGCAGGTGGCAGCCGACAAGAGGGAGCTGGTACAAGCAGCCACAAAAGCTCAGGCAGCGTTTCGGGGAAAAAGGGTCAGAAAGCAGCTGGCAGAGGACAAGCAGAAGCGAGAAGAAGCAGCCACCAAGATTCAGGCGATCAGACGAGGCAACATTGAGAGACAGCAGCTTGCAGCAGAAAAGAAGGAGAAGGAAGAAGCAGCCACAAAGGTGCAAGCAATATATCGCGGAAAAACAACGCGCAAGCAGCTGTCAGAGGACAAGCAGAAGCGAGAAGAAGCAGCCACCAAGATCCAGGCGATCAGACGAGGCAACGTTGAGAGACAGCGGCTTGCAGCAGAAAAGAAGGGGAAGGAAGAAGCAGCCACAAAGGTACAAGCAATATATCGCGGCAACACAACGCGCAAGCAGCTGTCAGAGGACAAGCAGAAGCGAGAAGAAGCAGCCACCAAGATCCAGGCGATCAGACGAGGCAACGTTGAGAGACAGCAGCTTGCAGCAGAAAAGAAGGAGAAGGAAGAAGCAGCCACAAAGGTACAAGCAATCTATCGCGGCAACACAACGCGCAAGCAGCTGTCAGAGGACAAGCAGAAGCGAGAAGAAGCAGCCACCAAGATCCAGGCGATCAGACGAGGCAACGTTGAGAGACAGCAGCTTGCAGCAGAAAAGAAGGAGAAGGAAGAAGCAGCCACAAAGGTACAAGCAATATATCGCGGCAACACAACGCGCAAGCAGCTGTCAGAGGACAAGCAGAAGCGAGAAGAAGCAGCTACCAAGATCCAGGCGATCAGACGAGGCAACCTGGAGAGACAGCAGCTTGCAGCAGAAAAGAAGGAGAAAGAAGAGGCAGCCACAAAGGTACAAGCAATCTATCGCGGCAACACAGAGCGCAAACAGCTGGCCCAGGACAAGCAGGAGCGGGAGCAAGCAGCCACCAAGATTCAAGCAATGAGACGAGGCAATATGGAGAGGCAGCAGCTTGCGGCAGAAAAGAAGCAGAAAGAAGAGGCAGCCACAAAGGTACAAGCAATCTATCGCGGCAACACAGCACGCAAGGAGCTGGCTGATCGCCAGCCAAGCCGTGACGCTAAGGAGAAGACAGATCTGCCACAAAGTGCCAGTGACAAACAGGCCACGGCCGAAGCACCTGGTGTCGAGAAAACAAATGCAACACAGCAAGAGCAGGAGAAAGCAGCGACCAAAATTCAGGCAATCCAGCGAGGCAGAGCAGCGAGGAAAGATGCAGCAGCAAAGAAGGAGGGGTCTTTCCGCATCCCGACCAGCCGTGACGCTAAGGAGAAGACAGATCTGCCACAAAGTGCCAGTGACAAACAGGCCACGGCCGAAGCACTTGGTGTCGAGAAACCAAATGCAACACAGCAAGAGCAGGAGAAAGCAGCGACCAAAATTCAGGCAATCCAGCGTGGCAGAGCAGCGAGGAAAGATGCAGCAGCAAAGAAGGAGGGGTCTTTCCGCATCCCGACCAGCCGTGACGCTAAGGAGAAGACAGATCTGCCACAAAGTGCCAGTGACAAACAGGCCACGGCCGAAGCACTTGGTGTCGAGAAACCAAATGCAACACAGCAAGAGCAGGAGAAAGCAGCGACCAAAATTCAGGCAATCCAGCGTGGCAGAGCAGCGAGGAAAGATGCAGCAGCAAAGAAGGAGGGGTCTTTCCGCATCCCGACCAGCCGTGACGCTAAGGAGAAGTTAGATCTGCCACAAAGTGCCAGTGACAAACATGCCACGGCCGAAGCACATGGTGTTGAGAAGCCAGATGCAACACAGCAAGAGCAGGAGAAATCAGCGACCAAAATTCAAGCAATCCAGCGTGGCAGAGCAGCGAGGAAAGATGCAGCAGAGAAGGAGACAGGCGTCCCTGGTCCTGAAGCGGCTTGGCCTGACGAAGCATCGACTTCTGGTGGGTCATAAATTCTTTGGCGCTTTAACTCCGCAAATCCAACCCTACAACCCTTAAACCCCAAGTAGGGTTATGCCCCTGAACCCTGAACCCTAAACCCTAAACCCTAAACCCTAAACCCTAAACCCTAAACTGGGTTATAACTGTTGTTGCCATGCCCCGAGCCTACCTATAAGCACTCATGAACGTCCAAGTATAGGGCTTCATCTAGGCTTCTAGACTGCCCCCCCCCTCCCCGCCCCTAGGGTTTAGGGTGTAGGGTTTAGGGTTTAGGGTTTAGAGTTTAGGGTAATTAAACTGTAGGCTCCTTTCAAGCTTGTGTGTGAAGTGGGCCCCCTAAACCCTAAACTCAACCCCAAATCCTAAACTCAATTTAAGTAAGCCCTTCATATGAAGCAAGGCCCCAAAATGCCTCCCCTAAACCTTATAAACTCTAAACTCCAATTCCTTTGTTTTCGAAGTATTATGAAGGGAGACCCCATAGACCCTCAAAAACGTAGGGTCCAATGATAAGAAGGATCCCAATAGGGCAGCCCCTATCTCGGAAGCCCCCATAGTATAAACCCTAAACCCTAAACCCTGTAAACCCTAAACTCCAATGAAGAAAGCCCTTTAAGAATGAAGTACGGCACCAAACCCGCAGCCCTCGAAAGCCTTCATCTGGGGGAAGCCAAGGCTCTCAAGGAGGAGGCGGCCATTGCGCCTCCGGCCCGGCTGGGGTTTGGGGGTTTCTTAAGTCTTATAGAGTTTAGGGTTTAGGGTTTCGGGTTTCGGGTTTCGGGTTTAGGGTTTGCAAGGTTTAGGGTTTCGGGCTTGAGGTTTATAAGGTCTGGGCTTTTTGGGTTTGCAAGGTTGAGGGGTTTTGGGCTTCGGGTTTATAAGGTTAAAGGTTGATAAAGTTTGGGCTTCAGGTCTTAGTAAGGGCTTTGGGAGGGATACCCTAAACCCGAAACCCGAAACCCTAAACCGTAAATAGGGCCCTGACTAGACTACCTGCTAGTGCAGGGGGAGACTGGGCTCTGATTCTCTTTAACTACTCCTTCTATTCCGAAACCTACGACCTTAAGCTTCGAGTTTAGGGCATAGGGCCTGACAGTGGTTTCCGAAACTAGGGGGTACCTTTTGGGGGTCCTTGTCCGAAGGGAATCCTACAATTTGGCGAGTATTTTAGGGTCCCCTATTTTCGTAAACCCCCACATTGGCGATTGCACCGAAGTCTAAATGTCTGGTTAGACGTGCTCTATAAAATTCGTGCCTTGGTAGTTTGTACTTGGAGGTTCATTGCTAGTTAGAAGTAGGGTTATAAGTACCTGATTAGAAGTGGGTTTTCGCATAGGTACCGTACCCCGATGCTACGAATTCCAAGCCCTCTAATCGCTGAACCTGAGTGACAAGCCCCTGTCCACAAAGGCACGAGGCAGCTGGAGTGGCTGCTGCCCAGGCGAGCAAGGATTCTTTGGCTTTAGGAGTTATTGTTGCTGTTTAAGAGGACTATGTTCAGTCATACTTTCCGGGGGTGTTTATGAGCATCCTAGGGGAAACATGACAGAACGTGACTGAAAGTCACAGAAGCTTCGCTCTTTGGAAGTCTTGGGAGGCCCTGGCGGCCTCCAACCAACGCATGGAGGCAGAGGCGTGAGCAAGGTTTAGGGTTTAGGGGTTAGGGGTTTAGGGTCTAGGGTTTAGGGGTTAGGGGTTAGGGGTTAGGGGTTTAGGGTTTAGGGTTTAGGGTTTAGGGTTTAGGGTTTAGGGTTTAGGGTTTCGCGTTTAGGGTTTAGGGTTTAGGGTTTAGGGTTTAGGGTTAAGGCCGTCTCGGAGCTGCATGAAACGGGTCACTCGTTGTCTTCCCTAGGTTACTCTTGGATCTAGTCCAGCTGTCCGTGCCGCGGCCAGCATGCCTCACGGCCTACCACCGCTCATCCCCTCTGTTGGCCCCGAAAACCTAAAACCCTAACGCCCTTAGGCCGTAAACCCTACAACCCTTAAACCCTCAAGCCCTAAATCCCTAAAGCCCTAAAATCCTAACACCCTAAACCCTAAAATCCCTAAAACGCTAAAACCCCAAAACCCTAAACCCTAAAGCCCTAAAACCCTAGCACCCTAAAACCTTCAAACCCTAAAACCCCAAAACCCCAACACCCTGAGCCCTAAAACCCCAAAACCCTAAAACCCTAAACCCTATGGATGGCTCTTCCTCCCATATGGGGGGTACCCCCTTTATACCCCAAATAGAATAGAATCCGCTTAAAGGGACCCCAAAACCCAAAACCCAAAACCCTAAACCCTAAACCCTAAACCCTATGTTCGGAAACCCCCCCCCCAAGGTTTTTGTCCTGGCGAGGCAGAGCTGGAAGCGGCTGCGCGGCGCCGGGCCGAAACAGAGGCGAGAGCCCTAAACCCTAACACCCTAAGCCCTAAGCCCTAAACCCTAAACCCCACCACCCTAAACCCTAAACCCTAAACCCTATGTGGTTCTTGCTGCACCGCTGCAGGCAGCGTGCGCAGAAGTGAAGGAGAAGGCAAGTGACATTCGTGCGGTTAGGGTTTAGGGTTTAGGGTTTAGGGTGTAGGGTGTAGGGTGTAGGGTGCAGGGTGTTAGGTGTTAGGGTGTAGGGTTTAGGGTTTAGGGTTTATGGTTTAGGGTGTAGGGTGTGGGGTGTAGGGTGTTACGTGTTAGGGTTTAGGGTAGTTTAGGGTTGAAGGTAGTTTAGGGTTTAGGGTTGTGGGGGCGCGCTTTCCCTACCCTGGTGGCTCCCAGCACCCAAATTGCCAAGATCTGGAGAGAGAACGGGGGACCACCCTGAACCCAAAAAAACCCTCAACTCGCCAAACCCGTTGGGTCTAGGGTTTAGGGTTTAGGGTTTAGGGTTTAGGGTTTAGGGTTTAGGGTTTAGGGTTTAGGACCCTAAACTCGCTAAAGTCTACACCCTGAGCCCTGAACCCGGCTTCACCAACTTCCTCCCATGCCAGGTTTTGGCCGAGGAAAGCCGCGCGGCAGCTGCGGCCGCAGCGCAGCTGCAGGCAATTGCAAGCAAGCAAACTAGTGCAGGGTTTCGGGTTTAGGGTTTAGGGTTAGGGTGTAGGGTTTAGGGTTTAGGGTTTAGGGTTTAGGGTTTAGGGTTTAGGGTTTAGGGTTTAGGGTTTAGGGTTTAGGGTTTAGGGAATACGCTACTATTTGCTTCAGAACCCCCCCCCCCCCCCCCCCGCAAAAAAAAGAAAAATAGAGAGTAGTCCTCCTCATAAGGGCAATATGAGGATTTTCATTTTTAAAGATTTTTTGGGGGGTGCTTAATTAAGCAAATAGTGGTATGGGGGCTTACCGATATTGGGGGTACCTAATTGGGGCCCTTACTACAAGGGAATACTAGAATCTAGAATAGTCTTATATGATAACAATATTGACAAGAACGCAAGCAAGCAAACGAATGCTCGGTAGGCCCTCGTGTTATGTTTTTCCTTATTGGGTTTACGAGGATCATATTCCGGAATATAGTCTTCAGAGGGTTGTAAGGGCCATCCTAGAATTGTGTAGTAGTACTAGAATCGTCTGATATGATACCAATCTTGGCAAGAATTAAGTGAAAAGAGATTGTGTAACCAGTCTAGCTATTCTAATATGCTTTGGAGTTTGGGGAGTCCGGTTGTTGTTGCAGGTCACGGCCGTGGTAGGCTCGCTGTCTATGACGGGAATGTGTCACTTGAGGCCCTTTAAGCCCCTAAACCCTAAACCCTAAACCCACAAACTTCTGCGGCAGGAAGAAGCAGAGCTGCGGCGACTGTTGCAGCAGTCCGAGGAGATGGAGGAGGCTGTTTGGAGATTCTTCTTGGAGCGAGTGTAACCCTACACCCTAAACCCTAAACCCTACGCCCTAAGCCCTAAACCCTAAACCCTTTTCTGGCAGGAGGTCATGTGGATCCAGCTTGTGTGGCGGCTACCGGGGCCTGTATTTTTATTGAAGTTGCAGGCCGAAAACCAGGCGCTCGATTTTCCCATCGCCAGCACTCCACTCCCTGTGGGCCCGGATGCCAAATCCTCCACAACAGACCCCCGCCAAACATACGAAAACGCTCGTAAACCCCGATACCCTATACATGTCGGGTTTAAATTATCTACGCACCTAGATACCTTCTAGATGCCCTAAACACCGACATACCCCTCAACACCCTAAACCCTAAACCCTGAACCCTAAGGGCACTGCTCCGCTTCGCACTTTGACGCCCGCACGGAGGCGGCGCGGCGTGCCGTGGCCATGCGAGAGGATCTCAGGGCCAGGCAGAGGCCTGGCGGTTTAGGGTTTAGGGGTTAGGGTTTAGGGTTTAGGGGTTGGGGTTTAGGGTTTAGGGTTTAGGGTTTAGGGTTTAGGGTTTAGGGTTTAGGGTTTAGGGTTTAGGGCCTCTGGTGGGGTTGGGGGGGGGTTTCGGAGACTTGAGGGTCTAGGGTTCGAGGGCTTAGGGTTTGAGAGTTTTGGGGGGGAGTTTTGGATGAGTTTGAGGGCTTTGTGTTCGAGAGCTTAGGGCTTTTGAGAGTCTTTGGGGGAGTTTGAGGGTCTAGGGTTCAAGAATCTGAGGGTGTAAGGTTTGAGTTTTCTGGAATTTGCAGGGACAAGTAGTATTAGGGTCACCTCCCTGGCATCCACACAGGCGGGCGGAAGAGCTTCTCGCGGAGTGTCGGGAGGAGCCTGACACCTTCTTGCCCAAACCCTAAACCCTAGCCCTAAGCCCTAAACCCTAAACCCTAAACCCAGCGATCCGGCGGACTTCTTATATGCAGCATAGATTGTAAGTTCATGGGTACTTATAGTAGGGTTTAGGCTTTAAGGGTTAGAGGGCTTAGGGCTTAGGGCTTAGGGAGCTTTACCCCGCATGGCTTATAGAAGGGTGTAGGGTTCAAGGTTTAGGGTTTGGGCTTGGGGGACTCTACCCTGCATAGGGTCATAACCATAGTTACCCTGCTGTACCCCGGAGCAGCCAGTGTACAGTGGCATACAGCTTGTTGAGCCCCAAAATCTTCTCTGGACTATGCCCTTTTTAGCTCCCTGAACTCACCCATGCTAGAGTTTAGGGTTTGGGGTTTGGGGTTTGGGGTGTAGGGTATAGGCTTTAGGGTTCAGGGCACAGGGTTTAGGGTTGAGGGTCACTGGGTTTTTGGGGAGCCGGCAACACCAAGCGACCCAGTGCCAGGAGGAACTGCGCACCGAGCAGCTCGAAGCGCAGGCGCGCGCGGAAAGGGGCGCCCCTGCGCCTCTGGCTGGGGCTTTGGGGCTTTAGGGTTTAGGGTTTTAGGGTTTAGGGTTTAGGGTTTAGGGTTTAGGGTTTAGGGTTTAGGGTTTAGGGTTTAGGGTTTAGGGTTTAGAGTTTGGGGGCTTTGGGGGCTTTGGGGGCCTTGGGGGCTTTGGGGGCTTTGGGGCTGTGGTGTTTAGGGTTGAGAGTGTAGGGTTTATAGGGTTTAGGGTTCGGAGTTTAGGATTTAGGGTTTAGGGTGTGGAGTTTAGGGCTTAGAGTTTGGGGTGCAGAGTTTAGGGTAGAGAGTTTAGGGTTTAGGGGCAAGGTTCGCAAATAGCAGTCGCGAAGGAAGCACTCAGTAGCATTCGCACCTTTTGCGGTCGCCCCACAACCCTGGCGTCCCCCGACATTCATGAGCTGACAGAAGGACCCTTTGCGTTCAGGATTCAGGGGTGTTTAGGGTTTTCCGGTTGTGTTTTTAGTTTATTGTTTTTTTGGGGGGTGGGGTTCCATAAGGAGCCGAAGTTACCCTGGGCAAGTAAAGTGCTCTTGGGGCCAGCCGGCTTTCGGGGCCAGGCGCAAGCCAGAAGAGCGAGACAGGAGTGCTCTGGGAGCGGGCGGTGCGTCGTCGCAAGGCTCAGGGAGTCCAGGATTCCATACAGTTTTGGATGCCAGTCTTCTTCCTTTTTTAAGGCATTGGGAGATGATGGTAAAGGGAAGAGTCCGTAAATTAAGTAGGGGCTCTTTTGGGGGCTCTCTGGGTCTTGTGAGGTGAGGCCCTCATGTTCGGCTGGGCATGACCAAGTGCCCAGCAGTGAGCAACGCGAGCATACAAGCAAATCGAATACGTATGCACGCACGTACCTAGGTCGAATTCTATGCTTTTTCGAATGTATAAATGTAGAACCATTCTTATGCATATGTTAAGATGACTACTTTTATGCACTGATACATAAAAAGAGCTTGTTTATGTGTATATAATAGGTTCAAGTCTTCTGTAGCTAAAAGTATGCAGCGTGTAGACCAGTCCTACACCGGTATCCGCACAAGACTCACAAGAAGACCCGGTTCCCCTTCTCGAGGAGGCGCAGCCCTCGCCAGCCTCCGCAGACAAGCAGGCGCCCTCACCCTATCCTTAGGAATACTTGGGATTTATTTTTCTTTTCTATTCATATTCAACGAAATGGGCACTCTCATTTCTAAGAAGCAGCTAAAATCCAAGTTTTTGCTAGAGTTTGAAGATCAGCATGGGATTTATCTTCAACCCCAGAAGCCCCTTGTCGTGGACGCTATGAAAGCCGGGCCAGTGCTTTGCAGGAGCCGGGGCCGGAGGTGTCTGTGCCAGAGGCCACAGAAGCCAAAGGCCAGGTGGCTTCAAGGGTTTAGGGTTTAGGGGTTTAGGGGTTTAGGGTTTAGGGTGTAGGGTTTAGGGTTTAGGGTTTAGGGTTTAGGGTTTAGGGTTTAGGGTTCAAGGGGGTTCGGGTTTAAGGGGTTGAAGGTTTATAGGTTTCGTTCTAAACCTGTGTAAAACTCCGCGAAGTTTTTGTTTAGAGTTTAAATGGGGTTCGGGTGGTCTCTTCATCCCTCACAGTCCGTGCCCTAAGCCCTAGTCCCCAATAAGATTTCTGGCCCCCTGCACGAAAGAGGCTGCCTCGCGGATTCCGAGCGGCATTTTCATGGTTCTTTTGGGGTCGGGAGGGCTCAGAATGTATGAAATGCCATCGGGCCGAATCTGCGGGGTTTGCGGTTTGAGGTATAGGGTTTAGGGGTTGGTTCAGTGTTTAGGGTGTAGGCTTGGGATGTTCCCCCTTAGACTAAACAGTCCTTCATAAGGATTATACTAGGGGGTACGATACTACGTATGAAGGACTGTTAGTATGAGGGACATCCCAAGTGCAGGGCCTTTAGGGTCGGGAGTTGCGAAGCAGTAGCACTCAGACTAAAGCCTCCTAAACCCCTAAACCCTAAACCCTAAACCCTAAACCCTAAACCCTAAACCTCAAGGCCCTAGAAGCCCTGACTCCCCCCTTCCGTGGCCAAATCCGGAGGGCACCCTGCAGCCGAGCAAGAACGTGGCTCGCTTGATCTTGATGAATCTTGAACTTTTGAAGATCTTCTGAGTGTTGGTGGGTTGAGGGTTTAGGGTTTAGGGTTTAGGGTTTAGGGTTTGGGGTTTGGGGTTTGGGGTTTGGGGTTTGGGGTTTGGGGTTAGGGTGTGCCCCTTTATACGAAAAGAAAGTTTTCAACAGGGATGATAGTAACCTTCTTACAATCCCTATGAAGGGCTGAGTTAGTAGCAGGGGGAACATCCCAATGTTGGGAGGCTGTGCTGTTTTGGCTGGGCTTCGAAAAGATTAGGGTTCAGGGCCGGGGGCTTAGCATCTAGGGTTGTGTAAACTTAATTTGTGGACTGAGGTTTAGGGTTTAGGGTTTAGGGTTTAGGGTGTTCCAAAGTGCCGCGGTCCCGACCCGCGCCAGGGAGTGGTGGCGGGTCGGGCCGCCTCGGTGCAGCGGATCCCACCCCAACCACCCAAACTACCGCTTTTTTCGGGTTTAGAGCGGTCTACCCCCCACCCCCCTATCAAGGGGGCTTTCACCTCCACTCTCCCCGCTGGCCGGGATGGGACGTACTGCTGCTGTTGCTTGAGCCTAGTACTGTCCTGGATCCAAACTACTGTGTTTAAGACACCCTCAAAACCATAGCTAAGCCAGGGAAAGCCCCGTGTCGGTTTTTCCAACCCGAGCCATGTTGGTCGCAGGACTCCGGAATAACCCGGATGAGCTGGAGGGAATGCGGCGGGGGCACGGCCCTGGCAGGCGCAACCCTGGCGTGCAACCCCGGCGAGGGCAACATTGCCGGCACCCTGGCAGAATAATAGAGTACTTTGGCAGGGAGCTTGTGGTTCCTTCATAGAGAAGGACGACGAAGCCTTGCAAGCGCGCAAGGAGGACCAGGTTGTCTGGGAGGGGCGTCAATGAGAAGGTGCACAAGTAGGCGATGGTGCCGGGTTGGTGGTGGGGGCAACCCTGAAGGGGGAGGGGGCGGGGGAAACCCTGGCAGGGACAACCCTCACAAGGGCAACCCTGGCGGGGCAACCCTGGCGGGGCAGACCTCTGGTGGGGGCAAACCTGTCACCCTAGCGAGGGCAACCCTGCGGAGAGCGAACCTGGAAAGTTGGAAAGGAATTTTGGGCGCAACTGGCAGGGCAACCACCCTGGCGGGGGGCAACCCTGGCGGGGGCAACCCTGGCGGGGCAACCCTGACGGGGGCAACCTGGCGGGAACAACCTGGTGGGGGCAATGGTGGGGGTGGGGGCAACCCTTGGTGCGGGCAACCACGCCGGCGGGGCCACCCTGACAGGGAGGGGCGGGGGGGCAGGGGGCCCCTGTCAAGGCTCAACTCTCCCCCATGGCCGGGATGGGACGTACTGCTGCTGTTGCTTGAGGCTACACTGTGTTTAAGACACCCTCAAGGCCATAGCTAAAGCCAGGGCAAGCCCCGTGTCGGTTTTTCCAAATCGAGCCATGAGATGGAGGAATGCGGGGAGGGCTGGGGCAACCTTGGCGGGGGCAACAACCTGTTTAGAGCAATCTTGCAAATGAGACCCTAGCGGGGGCAACCCTGAGAGGGGACAACCCTCACAAGGGCAACCCTGGCGGGGGCAACGCTGCCGAGCAAATGTGAGCAACCCTGCCGGGGGCAACCCTGTCACCCTGGCGAGGGCAACCCTGCGCCTGGCGGGGCAACCCTGGCGGGGGCAACCCTGGCGGGGGCAACCCTGGTGGGGGAATGTTGGCGGGGGCCCTGACAAAGGCAACCCTGGTGGGGGCAACCCTGGCGGGGGCAACCCTGCCGGGGGCAACCCTGGCGGGGGCAATTCTGGCGGGGGCAACCCTCGCGGAAGCAACCCTGGCGGGGGCAACCCTGACAGGGGCAACCCTGGCGGAAACAACCTGGCGGAGCCAACCCTGACTTTGGCGGGGGGCAACCCTGGCGGGGGCAACCCTGGCGGGGCAACCCTGGCGGGGGCAACTCTGGCGGGGGCAACCCTGGCCTCCCCCGCCGGGGTGGCGCGTCGGGGGTTTAGGGTTAATCCATTATTACATTGTGCCCTATGGCTAGCAGGGATGCATCAGGTGTGGCAAACTCGATCTGCTTGGCAAAGCAAGCAGATCTCGAAGCGGTAGCGTTCAGTTGTACCGGCCGCCGCCTGGCGCGGGCGGCCTATGGTTTAGGGTTTAGGGTTAGGGTTTGTTGGGGAAATTCTAGTTATAGACTGAGGCACCCTGCATCCCCCTCAAAAGAGCCCCTTTACTTCGTGGCTTGTGTCGGGCTACCGACTTTCCTAACTTTTCCAGCTCCTTCCGAACAGCTGGGCAGTTGCCTTACGCAGGGTCTGGCTCAGGAGGCCGATGAGCCCGTTATAGCCAGAGTTGAGCAACCCAAAAAAGAGCAGACGAGTAAGAACATGTCACCACCTGCAAGACCACGGGTAGGCAAAAGGCGCACACCCCCCTGGTAGAACTACTACCCCCAGCCCTAAACCCGAAACCCTAAACCCTAAACCCTAAACCCCCATTGATCATTCGCATTGTGGACTTCGGGGTTCATGCCATGCACCGCCTGCGCAGCCGGGCCGGCATGCTCTGCCAAGAAGGCTGGGGGTGGGCACTGTGAGTCGGTACATCGATACGTGCTTAGAGCTTAGGGTTCTTGGGGTTTAGGGTTTGGGGGGTTTAGGGGGTTTTAGAGGGTTTTAGGGGGCCTGTGGCTGGAATTCGATTGCAACTTGCGATTTAAATCAATTCTAATCCGAAAGGGTTGGTTGTCGAAGACGAGCTTTTAACCACGGACTACAATCGATTCTAAGCCGCTCCATTCTCGGCTCCCTGGTGCGGGCATGGATTAAAATCGATCTTAATCCGTTTTGTGGGGACGGGCAATGATTGGATTAAAATCGATTTTAATCCGATTTCGAAGACCCATTCCTTGTCCCATGTTTGGGCGTCATGCAATGCAGATGGACCTTTGGATTAAAATCGAATTTAATCCGATTTGGAACATCCATTCCTTATCCCATGATCAAGGTCTTCGTGTCCCAGGGCCAGCACACTCGCCGGTCATTTGCACCACAAGGTCGCGCTGCTTGGAAACTTGGATGCGAAAGCACCACATCTTGGTACAGGACTGGCATGTCTTGCAGTGGGTGAGCAAGGTCTTCGTGCCTTGGTCACTGCTCCACTGGAATGCCTTATCTCTTCATCAGTCTGCTCTCGACATACTTCGACCCAGTCGTATCTGTTTCGGCCACTTCTACGACGACGCGGGGAACTGTCAGGGTCGGAAACAGCAGCAAGGCTGTCTGCTGCCTCAGGGTGGGTTGGGTGGGGGTGGTGGGTGGATTTGGGGGGGGGGTGGGTGGGGGTGGGGCTGGGTGTGGATTTGGGGCTGTGGGTTGGGGGGTGGCTTGGGGGGTTGGGTGGTTGGGGGCTTGGGGGGTTGGATTAAAATCGATTTTAATCCGATTTGCGGGCGGAGGAGGCGACGGATTAAAATCAATTTCAATCCTTTCAAAAGAGGATCGCAACAAGCGGCCTAAAACTGATTTTATTCCCCTGGAGCTTAGGGGCGGATTAAAATCGATTTTGAGCCGGCTGGCAATTGGAACGGATTAAAATCGATTTTAAGCCGACGGGGTTTAGGGTTTAGGGTTTAGGGTTTAGGGTTTAGGGTTTAGGGTTTAGGGTTTAGGGTTTAGGGTTTAGGGTTAGGGGTTTAGGGTTCTTAGGCGCTGTATAAGCAGGGTTGTTACTAGTAGCTCGTATTGTATAAGTCTAGGTAGAAACGGTCATCACCTTATTTTGGGTGCTCTGAGAGCCCTGCATGGAAGTAGGCCATGAACCTGGTTTAGGGTTTAGGGTTTAGGGTTTAGGGTTTAGGGTTTAGGGTTTAGGGTTTAGGGGTTTAGGGTTTAGGGTATGATCCTCCAAGTACTGTTACATTCTTCGGCACCTAGCGCAGATATCGGCGTAAGAGCCGCCCGAGGCCCAAAGGACGTAGGGTTTAGAGCGTTTAGGGTTTAGGGTGTTAGGGTTTTAGGGTTTTAGGGTTTTTAGGGTTTTAGGGTTTTAGGGTTTTTTAGGGTTTTTAGGGTTTTGAGGGTTTTTAGGGTTTTAGGGTTTTTAGGGTTTGAGGGCTTACACCCCTCTTCCAAAGGGGAGGGTTTAGGGTTCAGGGTTTAGGGCTTTGGGTTTAGGATCTACAGCTGTTGTGGGACACCGTGCATGGTGAGATGTCGCAGAAGACCTCTCTCTCTCTCTATATATATATATATATATATAGATACTTAAATGAATAATTGAACAAAACATATATATATATGTATACATGTATGGTTACTCAACTATAGCGCCTGTCAGGCTTTTTCCGCACAGCCTCGGTTTCACTGGTGCTGTCCAGTTGGGGCCGCATCTTTGACTCGCAGGAGAGCTCACACTTGGGCGCTGGGAGTGTTAGGGCCCAATGCCCACGGTTTAGGGTTTAGGGGTTTAGGGGTTTAGGGGTTTAGGGGTTTAGGGGTTTAGGGGTTTAGGGGTTTAGGGGTTTAGGGGTTTAGGGGTTTAGGGGTTTAGGGGTTTAGGGGTTTAGGGGTTTAGGATGTCTCTGCAGGGCCCTCTTGCGAGATTCTAGGGCATAGTGGCCCATCCTGGTACAAGGGCATGTTCGTGCCGGCCTGGCTCCGCACAGATGGTGCATGCTAGCATGCTAACAGTCCTTAATAGGGATTATAGTCCCCCCCTACTATCGTACTAAGGACTGTTAGTATAAGGGGGAACATCCCAATGTCGGGAACAATCGTACCTCGTATTTAAGAAGCTCTACCTGCAGTACAAGACTAGGCTAATGGTGCCCTGCTGAAACAGCAGTCTGTCAGTGCCCCGGTCAAACTCCACATGACACGCTGCAGTCTCGTGGCGACAAGACCCAAGTTGCTCCAGCCTACTGTAGTATAGCGAGAAGTAGCCCTACATAAAGCGCCACTTTATGAACCGCAGGCTCCTACGCCCTACC